AGAAGAGAATGGCAACCCACTCCAGTATTCTTGCCTGGAGAATCCCATGGACAGAGGAGCCTGGAGGGCTACAGCCTATGAGGTCCAAGAGTCAGACATGACTGAGCGAGCGACTAACACTACACTAATATTACAACCATTAAAATTATCAAAGCAGAGATGAATTTAGGATGAAAGTGAAATTTGCCATGACAATTCTAATAAGCTCATTTGCACATCTGTTAAAATTTTGTATTCCAGTTTTTGATAACAGTTTAATTTAGTTAGTTGAGTGGTACATGCTTGCTATATTACCTATAGAGAGCTGGGAGACTAAAAATCAAGACAAACTATTTTTAAAGCCTAATATATATTTTTTAAATTAAGTTAGCTATACTGATTTCCTTGTTGAATGCCTTAGAATATCTTTAAATGACTGATTTAATTACTCCGATGCTTCCACAGCTATCATGCCACCAAAAGTCTATGGCTTTCTTTGCTTTACTTCCTTATAAACGTCTTATCCCAATCTAGGTATGCCCATACTGTTGAGCACATAATAGATGCCCTGTCACAGGGAAATCAAGGCTGAGAACTCACTGAACTTACTTCCTGAGGAAGAGGACCCATGTGCTCAAGATGGCACGGCACGGCACGTCAGTGGCAAGCACAGAACTGGCAAGAGAGACTGTGACCTCCCATCAGGCCATGTGACACTGCATCATGACCACTGATGTCGCCAACAGCCCTCACCTGCTTCTTCATTAAGACTGATTTGAGTTCCAGCAGAAACCACATCCCTGCACAGCTGCTTACGGTGAATACCCTCTCAGATCCATTCAGCTCCCTTTGTCTCAAAAGAACACAAAATTTCAACGCCCTTCCTTATCTATTCCCATAACAGCCTCACTGCACACCAGGTTTATACAGTCTGCAGGTGTGAAAAGGGGGGCAGAACAAGTCCCATGATCTACAAGCAACCTTCTAGCCCTATTCTCTCTTCCTTACACTCTATCTGCACGCTTTTTTTTCTTTTTGGAGTACTTAATTTATACTAGGCTTAGTATTTTGCTTATGTTACATAAAATGGAGGATGACAGTATACTCAGCTGATGGAACTGCTGTGAGGCTTAAGTGAGTCAATACACATAAAAATATTATGAAGTGCCTAGCACATAGAAGTACATCGTAAATAAGTTCAATTCAGTCGCTTAGTCGTGTCCGGCTCTTTGTGACCCCATGGACTGCAGCACACCAGGCTTCCCTGTCCTTCACCATCTCCCAGAGCCTGATCAAACTCATGTCGATCGAGTTGGTGATACCATGCAACAATTTCATTCTCTGTCGTCCCCTTCTCCTCCTGCCTTCAATTTTGCCCAGCATCAGGGTCTTTTCCAATGAGTCAGTTCTTCGCATCAGGTGGCCAAAGTATTAGAGTTTCAGCTTCAGCATCAGTCCTTCCAATGAATTCTTAGGACTGATTTCCTTTAGGATTGACTGACTGGATCTCCTTGCAGTCCAAGAGACTCTCAAGAGTATTCTCCAGCACCACAGTTCAAAAGCATGAATTCTTCAGCACTCAGCTTTCTTTATGGTCCAACTCTCACATCCATACACAACTACTGGAAAAACCATAGCTTTGACCAGATGGACCTTTGAAGGCAAAGTAATGTCTCTGCTTTTTAATATGCTGTCTAAGTTGGTCATAGCTTTTCTTCCAAGGAGCAAGCATCTTTTAATTTCACGGCTGCAGTCACCATCTACAGTGATTTTGGAGCCCCCCAAAATAAAGTCTCTCACTGTTTCCATTGTTTCCCCATCTATTTGCCATGAAGTGATGGGACTGGATACCATGATCTTAGTTTTCTCAATGTTGCATTTTAAGCCAACTTTTTCACTCTCCTCTTTCACTTTCATCAAGAGACTCTTTGTTTCTTTGCTTTCTGCCATAAGGGTGGTGTCAGCTGCATATCCGAGGTTACTGATATTTCTCCTGGCAATCTTGATTCCATCTTGTGTTTCATCCAGCCTGGCATTTCACATGATGTACTCTGCATGTAAGCAGGATGACAATATACAGCCTTGACATATTCCTTTCCCAATCTGGAACTAGTCTGCTGTTCCATGTCTAGTTCTAACTGTTGCTTCCTGACCTGCAACCATATTTTTCAGGAGACATCATAAATACTGGCCGTTATTTTTATTCAAAATGGTCAATGTGTCCAAAGAGTTTCCTGCCCAAAGCTTCTGACTAGTTGTCTATAGGCATGTGTCATTAACTCCAAGGTCAATGAGGTCCAAAATAGGTTTAACTTGCTTCTCAAACCCACCACTTCTGGCTCCCTCAGTCCTATTGTCAGGGTGCAAATGTGACATTGATTCCTCAACCTTTCCTGCCTCTGCTATCTAAGTCATTGCTAAGTCTGATCAATCCTAGATAAACGTGTTCTTTCCTCTCTGTAAGCACAGTCACCAATCATATTGGGGTCAATATCTTCCTCAGTTATTTCAACAGCCACCAAGACTGGTCCCCTTGCTCTTCTTATTCCTCTCTTTCAATCATTCTTCACAGAACTGCTGTCCTAAAAGACAATTCTTATGTTACTCTGCTATTAAATCTGCCACAAAACACTTGAAGGATTCACACTGAACAGCAGACTAAAGCCTAAGTTTCTCACAAGGTATTCAAAGCCTTCTGGATCCCCACTATCCTTCTGCTGTCTCAACACACCAGACTTCAAAAAAGTACTGGCTGTTCTCTAGCACCCGGAACTCACTGTTCCCAGACCTGTCTTTTGGTCCCACCTGCCTACCTTTCAGATCCTGTTTCATTTAGAAAGCTCTTCTCTCCATCTCTGCCTAGAAATATCATCCTGCAAATGCCATTTAGCCAAGTTTCACATTATGCCCAAGAAGTTTTCTGTTCCCTTCACTGCCTCAGAGGATTAGACAGCTGGAAGCACGTCATTTTACAAATAAAATAACTGTGTCTGCAAACGGGAAAACTGATTAATCAAGGTAACTGAATGGCTAGGCCTAGAATTTAAGTACAACTTCAAATCCTCTTTTTTTTTTTTTTTTTGGCCCTGCCTTCCAGCAGGCGGGATCTCAGTTCCCTAACCAAGGATGGAACCCAAGACCTTTGTAGTGGAAGTGCAGAGTTCTAACCACTGGACCACCAGGAAGTCCCCTACTCTCTTTTCTTAAATCATATTTGCCCTTGTCCATAGCATTTAATCATATTTTGTCCTGCATTTTAGTTATTTATGCAATTATCTGTTTCTCAATTCAACTGTGTGAACTCTAATGGCAAATTTATTCCAGAAACAGAGTACATCCAAGAAACAGAACCTCAGATGACTGCTGAACCAAATTAGAGTGCCAATGAAGAAACAGAAACTCAAAGTCTTAACCCAGCTTCACAGTGGGTAAGAAACAAACGGACTGCTGGCAGTACCCACTCCCCCACCTTTTAGTAAATGTCACTTTATTTAAAAGTCTCCAAACACAGCTAAAAATCCTTTCTTCCAAGGAAAATAATAGTTGCCATTCTTAAAGGCATATAGGATGAAATGAAGTAATCTAGGTAAAATACTTAATACTGGACCTGTAATACAATTTTTGGCATGCAATTTTTTATCTTCCTCTTTCTCCTCCAATGTAGCCTGATTATCCAGTCCTGCTCTGACACTTCCTTGCCTAAAAATATTCCACATCTCCCCATCACCTCCCCTATGGGATCCAGAGTCCAAATTGCTCAGTCTGGCCCTGTGAAAGTCGCTACCCAGCCCTACCTCAGCCCCAGGTACCTCTCCAGGCTCAGCCATTGTTGCTTTCCACCAAGAGTCACATCAAACAGCAAAACACAAAATTCTAAGCCTTCTCGATCTTCTGAGCTTTTGCCCCTAACATTTAAAAGTATGGCTTTAAAATTCAGACCTGGGTTCATATTGTAGCTCTACGGCGTGAGGTGTGACCATGGGCAAATCACTTCTCTCAGGACCGTATCTATAACATGGAGAAATCAATTATATCCTCACCTGGCTGGGAGGAGCCTATGAATTAATGTCTGTTGTTAGCATCCTGTCTGAGTCTAGTGTTTGCTATAATTAGTATTATCGGCCTTCACTTCTCATATATCTCTAACGACACTGTACTGTAACCGTACTGTTTCCCTGTTAGATTATAAACTCTATGAGGTCAGGGTCTATCTCATTTTCCAGTGTATATGCATATGGTAATTATTCAAATGACAGCTCTTGAGTAAATGAATGCTTTAAATGTTCTTTTACCAAACACTTTCCCAGGCTGTTAGCAAATTCGCCTCCAATACTATCTCCTTTTTCTGCGGCTTTCGAGCTCCACTCCAATGCACTCTGCAGCGACAATGCTACTTTAAGGTGACTGTCTCTCTCCCTCGACTGTTAGCACCCGGGGCTGTACACTCACTTCGTAGAGACGTTTGAGTACCAAGTGACATGAAGTAAAAGGACCCTGGTTGGTGCTTAGCAAGAAATACCACTATTATTCACGTAAAGGAGAAGCAGGTTGCTGCCGGGAAGCGGAGAGTTCTCGAGCTACTGAAGGATGGGTCTCCCCGAGACGTCCCGACGGTCAACCTGTGTACAAGTTGAGGGCATGGGGTTGGGATGCGGGGTCCAGGGCCAGGGTCCGCTGAGTGCAAGCCCGGCTGGGCCTAGGCCCGGGAAGCTGCAGCCCTGTGCCCCGCTTGCCTTCCTCCAGACGAGTCTCACCTCCTGCACTTTCAGATCCTCCAGAGTGGGCAGCTCCACTATCCCCGGCATGATGGCTGCAGCCGCGACCCCGAGGAGGTCCCCGCTGCCGCGTCTCCCCCGTCTCCTTGAACTCCCCTTTCGACCGCCGAGGGCCACCTAGCGTCTGCGCATGCGCAGCGGCAGCAGCACGCAGGCGCACTGCTCTACCCAACCGCGAGCCACGGAGCCTGCGCAAAGCCAGGAAGCTCCCGGACCCTGGGGGCGGGGCTTCTCCTCGGCCCCGCCCATCCCTTCCTGGTTGTCATGGTGAGGCAGGATGCACTGAGACTCTGGTGTCGCAAAGACTGGAAGCTAGAGGCAGGCGCCATGGAGTACACTGGGAGCCAGTATGTTGGGGAATTTGTAGATGGCAGGTAAGGGGTTCGTTTGATTCACTACGTCCTTGAACATCCGTGACTGGAAAAAGACGGCGATCTTTTTGTCCCTGCAAAGAGTTTTGTATCAGACACTTTCTCAAATTTTTTCCCTTTTAAACTTAAGGAAAACTCTTTTAGGTAGGAATGTTTATTCCCATTTTACAGTTCAGGTAAATGAGATCCCGAGAAATGAAGTAACTTGTTCAAGGGCGCATATTCTAATTAACAGCTGAGCTGAGATACATCCATTCCATGTATATATGTGTGTCTGCTATCTGCCAGTATTAGGTACAGGGATAAGAATATAAATAAGATAAGAATATGAACACTGTCAAGATCCTTGCTCTCATGCAGCTTATCGTCTAGTTAGCATATTGCCAACAAACAGAGAAGATAATTTCAGATGGTGGCTTTGCATGAATCTTCCCTCCTCACAGCAACCATATGAGATAGATACCCCCATTATCCAGATTGAAAAAGTGAGGTACAAAGTAGTTCCATAACATGCCCGAAGTCAGCTAGCTGGCATTTGACAGAGTAGAGATGAAAACTTGGTCTGCCTCCAGAGCCCATGATCTTTCTATTATAGAGTCTTGCTGTTGAGCCCCTGCAGAGGATGCATCGAGTTGAAACAATCCTAGAAGGCTTCGTAGAGGAGATAATATTTGAAATGGGCCCTGAAGGTTGGGTAGGATCTAGATGGGTGGAGATGCAAAATGAAGAATGTTTTCAGGCAGAGTGAACAGCATGAGCAATAGCTCAGAGGGCTTACATATGAAGGAGAGAGCAAGCAGTTCAGTTTGGCTGGAGTGTAGGATGTGTCTAGGGGAGAGTGGGAACCCAAGCTGGACAGGGTGGACTCTGTGTTCTGGTGTAGAGAGATTTGAATACTCTGTACAATTCTGTGGGTGGGAGGAGCCATGGATAGACACTTGGTAGTGCTGGACATTAGGAAGTCTAATTTATTTCGTCTCTGTATCCCTCCTCATAGTGCATATGTCTGGTAGGCACTCAGTAAATGTTAGCCACATGAATGAATAAGAGAATGAATGAGTGAGTGAATAATATTTGACATATGGTCATCATACCCGTATTAAGGATTGATATCTTTATTATAAAGGAGCTCTTTTTGTTCTTTTAAATTTACTTTGAATTTAAGATGAAGGCTTATTAGCTTTTTTTTTTTTTTTGGCTATGCCACATGGCTTGTGGGATCTTAGTTCCCCAACCAGAGATTGATCCTGGGCCCTCAGGAGTGAGAGCTCAGAATACTAACCACTGGACTGCTAGGGAATTCCAAGACTTTTTGCCTTGAATGATAAAAGAAAAATGGAAGGGGATTAGGAAGAGGGGGGAGAAAAGGAAGAGGGAGGGAGTGAGGGAGAGTGGAGGTAGGGAGAGCAGATCAGAGCCCATTGCTGTTGTCCCAGTAAAAGGCAGCAGGACCCTGGGCCAAGGCAGAAGCAATAGGGCTATGGGAGAGAAAAAAAATGTAGAAGTTTGGGGGTTTCATTGCCAGGACCTGGCAAATGATTGGCTCCTGGTCCCACTCAGAGAATGCTTTCAGTCCAGCCCAGAGCCCAGCTCCAGGCTCTGAGCCTGGAGATTGAGAACACTGAGGAGGAGCCACTCTGGGGGAGGAGAGGATGAATTCTGTTTGGGATGGGCTGGAGATATCTGTAGATGAAGAATACATCTAAGTTACATTTAAAAGAAAAAAAAAGGAGGGGAGATGCCAAATTTCAGAGATGGGTTTAGATGGAGACTGTGTTTAGAAATAACAGATATAATCTTAAGCAAAGAGGTAGAGATATGAAGATGAGTTCTGTCTCCTCCTATGTCTTGGAGCAAAATAAAAGCAAACTAGTATTTAAGCCCTTCTGCTATAGTTTCATAGCCATTAGTGCAGTAATTTTTCAGAAGTGTCATTATCCCTATTTTACAGATGAGAAACTTGGGCTTAGAGAGGTAGAGGTCATACAAGGCATAGAGAGGTGGAGCCAGGTCTCCCTGGCTCAGAAGCTGTGCTTAACCACAGTGCTCTCCTGTTTGGGGCCTGTGTACGGTGGCAAGTTCTGTCATCCACTCAGTAAGTTCACTAGTTCTGTTTCTTTCATTCTTTACTTAGTAGCACCTGTTTAACAAGAAACATGTTTCTAGAAGCTAAGAATACCAAGGTCTTCCTCTCAAGAGGCTTGATTACATAGGAGAGATGAAATATACAATTATGATACAAGGAAGAAAGTGCTAGGCATCCAACAGAGGTACAAACAAAACCAAAAATAAGTTTAGAGTTAGGAAAGATGATTTCCAGCCAGTAGGGAAAAACAAAGAAGGCACGAATGAATGACTGAAAGCTTGTTTCTTAAGCTCTCACTATATATCAGGCCCTTTACTAGGAAAACTGTTATTAGTATCTGGGTTCATCTTGGGCATTAATCTCAGCCATTTCCCCTATGAAGCAAGTGGCCATCTGGTCCAGGCGGTACCCTGCCCCTTGCTCCCGTAGGGGCCTATCTCCCCTTGCAGGGCACTGATCACGCATTGTGTAATTGTTTAGCTGTGTCCCTCACTAGACTGTGGGCCCCTCAAGGACAAAGACTGCCTCTACCTCGATCACTGTTGTATCTATAGTATTGTATCCAATAGAGTAGACTTAGCAAGGCACCTGGCGTATAGCAGATGTTCTATAAATATTTGTTGGAATAAAGGAAGGAAGGAAAACAGAGGTTTAGGAAAGTCTCCAAGATGGCACATCTAGCATATGATGAAATGAGACTCAAATTCTTGTTTCCTCAGGTGCATACTTTACCCGGTTTCCTACTTGGGGTGCAGTGGGCAGGGGTGGGCTGGTTGTGGGGAGTGGAGAAGACCTGGAATTAGCTCCCAGAAAGCCTGGTCCCTGTCTCTGCTTCACAGTGCTTGCTGTGTGACTTTGAGCACATTGTTCCCCTCTCTGGGCCTCCAGACGGGGTCTTCCATGGGCAGCATGAACTCCAGGACAGCCCCTACTTGAGAGCAAGGGAAAACAAACAGACCAAATCTTGCATTCCCTTCAACACACAGCCCCTCTTACTTTTGAGCTCTAAGGGGAGCATTTTTGTTTCTGAACAGAATAGTGCAGGGACAATAACATCTGGGGACCCTGAGGTGCTGGCTCTCCTGCACCCCTGCCTCTGATCCTCCAGTTGCCATGAGGGTTCAGTGACTTCTTTTTGTCCTTACAGGATGGAGGGCGATGCCGAATACATCCTTCCAACTGAAACAAAATACATTGGGGAAATGAAGGATGGCATGTTTCATGGCCAGGGAACCTTGTACTTCCCCAATGGGAGCCGATTTGATGCAGTTTGGGAGAAAGGGTTGGTTGTAAAGGTAATCAGGTGGGGAGGGGAAAGCCTCAGACGGGAAGAGCCCCCGACGGGCACCCTGCCCTCCCCTCTGCTGCCCTCCTCTCCCGCCTCTTGATCTCCAGGGCTCTGGAATCTTCTCCATCTCTATCCAGAAAGCCCCTGGAGAAGCCATAATGAGTCTGAATCCTCTTATGCAACCAACTGTGTGACCTTGGGCCCATGACCTACCCTTTCTGAGACTCCTGTTTCTTATCTGTACACTGGGGACAATAGTTGTCTTAGTATCATAATGCTGCTGTAACAAATTACTGTCAACTCAGTGCCTTCAAACGACAGAAACTTGTTATCTTTTAGTTCTGGACACCAGAAGTCTAAAACAGGCCAGCAGTGCGTCTTCCTTCTGGAGGCTATGTGGGAGGAACCATTTCCTTGACTTTTCCAGTTCGTGGAAGCTGCGTGCATTCCTTGGCTCGTGGCCATGCATCCCTCTGACCTTCACTTCCGTCCTCACATCTCCTCTCCCTCTGCTTTTGTCATCGTCTCATCTTCTATCACTCTGACCCTCTTGCCTCCCTCTTAAGAGAACCCCTATGATCACACTGGACCCATATAGATTATCCAGGATAATCTCCCCACTTCAAGATCCTTAACTTAATCCCACCTGCAGAGTCTCTTTTGCCATTTAAGGGTAACATTCATAGGCTCAATGATTAGACATGGACATCTTTGGGAGACTGCAAGTCTGCCAGCCACAAGAGTATGAGGCTTCTCCTTAGGCTGGTTATGAGAATAAATGAGGCAGTGTGTGAGTACTCTACTCAGTACCTGGCACACAGTAAGTACCTAGCACTCAGTAAGTGCTATCTCCACCATTACAATCAGATGACTTATCAGTTATCTAAGTCAAGAGTTCTTAGCCTGGGATTTGTGGGTCACAAATAGAATTCAGGGTGTCAGTGAAATCTCCTGATTTATATACAAAAGCCTCTGTGCACATGGGACTCAAGTTTCCCCAGAGAAAGGATCTATAACTTTCATGGGTTTCATTATGGGTGGGTACAGGGGCTGTCTCATAACCTAAAAAAAGGTTAAGAAACACTCCTTGCTTTTCAGCTTGGAGAATCTAAGCCCCAGGAAAGGGATGTGACTTACCCAAGGTCACCCTGTGAATTAATAGTATTGGAATTTCCACCCATGTTTCCTGATGCCCAGGCCAATGCAATGTGTACATCCTGAGGCTTCCTTTAGCACTAAGGCAGCAAAAGATGAATGTACATGTTTGGACAAAGAGCCGTGACTGAGGGCCCTGACCTTTCTAGCCATGATAATAATAAAAGAATAATAGTAACATTTATTGAGTGTTTACTCTATGCCAGCCCTACGCTAAATGCTCTTCATGCACTATCTCACTGAATCTCATTGAATCAGTTCTGTTAAGCATACAGCATGATTTTCCAACTGGATGGAGGAGGAAACCGAGGGCCACCAAGGGTAAGTCATCTGCCCAAGGTCACACAGTGAGCAAGACACACAACTCAGGACTTACAATCATGCCTCCCAGTCACCACGGCTGGAGTAGCTGTGATAGTGATCACTTCAGTGAAAACACCACCCCTTCCCTTGACTTCCATCATTCTTGGCCAGTGGCTGTGGCTTCTTCAGACCTACATGTGTGCACCTCATCTTCCAGGGCACGTACACCTTCTCAGATGGCCTGCAGTATGACCCTGAGAACTGGCATTACTGTGACAGCTACGATCGGAGGTTTTACACTGAGATCTGCCACGGCTTGAAGCCTGCAGGTACCCAGGCATCCTTGCTTCCCTTCACACTCAGACGGAGAGGGAGATGAAAGACGGATCTAAAGAAGTGGGTTGAGTCCCTTTGAAGTAACCCACCCCAAAGGAGAGGAGAGAGGAGCAGGACCACAGGATGTGACCAAGTTCTAGAGCCAGAAAGACCAGTCCTCAAATCTCAGATCCCCTGTTCCAGCCAGGGATCAAGGGCAGGGCATTCACCTCTCTGAGCCTCAGTTTCTCCCCCTGTAAAATGGGACAATAGCTTCATTGACCTTACAAGTCTTAGAAATAAGATCACACGTGTAAAGTGTTGGCAGCAGTGTCTTGTACGCACAGTAGGTGCGTGGGACACCTCAGCTGCTGTTATTCATCAGATCAGCTGCAACACTGACGTGGGGCAGCAGTGATGGACCATGTGCTCTGTGTACTGGGGGCCGGGTGAGGCTTTCCATCCTCTCTGTTGCACTGAATCTCCAGGTGACCCTGGCATGTCAGCTTCCTCGTCCCATGTCACAGAGGAAGGAGCTGAGGCCATGGAGCTCAAGCATGTTTCGAGTGGCAGAGTTCGCATCGGAGCCCATGTCTTCCTCTCTGAGGTTCCTACATCACATTGCCTCCCTGGAAAAATCGAGTTCCACCACAGAAGGGGACACTGGGGCCTAGAGTCTGTGTCCGGAGAGTGGCAGCTTCAGGGGTCCTCTGTGTTTCTGAGACTCGTGTGAGGTCAGCTGAGCCTCAAGAGGCAAGATTTAGGCACAGCCCAGACAATATAGCCAAATACCGGGAAGTGACTTGTAAACTGTAAAAAAAAAAATCCTTACTTAGAGGTAGTATGGTGGCACTGACAGAGCAGAGAGCTGGAAGATCAGGGTAGGAGTCCTGGCATTCCCCCCAATAGCTGGATGAGCCTGGGGAGCTCAACGTCCCCAAGGACAGAAACCTCCAGAAAGCACTTGGGATTGGGGTCCAGACACCCTGAGTGCAGACTCTGGCTTTGTGACCAGGTGAGCCGCCTCCTCTCTCTTGGCTTTCCTAACACCTCACCCTCCCACTTTCTTCCTATCCCGTCTCCTTTGCCAAATCCCCCTCCCCCATTATTAATTCTGGGGTTTACCACGGCTCTCTGGCTTAGACCCTCTTCTGTTTTCGTTCTGAATCTTCTCCCTACAAGTTGATTCACGTTTAAGCCTTCATTTATTGTTTTTCAGTTGCCCAGTCATATCCGACTCTTCGAGGTCCCATGGATAGCAGCACGCCAGGCCTCCCTGTCCCTCACTGTCTCTCTGAGTTTGCTCAGACTCTTGTCCACTGAGTTGGTGATGCCATCCAACCATCCCATCCTCTGTTGTCCTCTTCTCCTTTTGCCTTCCTTTAATTGAAATCAAAATCTGTGAGTCTCAGATTTCTGCATCCTGTTTGCACAACACCTCCATTGGGTCATCTCTCAACTTGTCTGCACTGAGTTCATCACCCTGCCCACCAGCCCACTGACCCCCAGGACTGCTGCCCTGGAGACCATCACTCCCACCCCACCCCCACCCCCACATAAGCCTAATCCTGACTCCTCCTTCCTCCATAAGTGTGCAATCCATCACCTGGTCCTATGGATTCTGCCTCTAAAATATATCCATTCATTTGTTCATTAAACAGATACTTACTGAGCATCTCCATGGGCCAAGCTGACCTTCTTCATCCTCTTTTGTTGTTATTGGTCAGTTGCTAAGTCATGTCTGACTCTTTGCAACCCCATGGACTGCAGCACATTAGGCTTCACTGTCCATCACCAACTCCCGGAGTTTGTTCAAACTCAACGTCCATTGAGCTAGTGATGCCACCCAACCATCTCATCCTCTGTCGACCCCTTCTCCGCCTGCCCTCAATCTTTCCCAGCATCAGGGTCTTTTCCAGTGAGTTGGCTGTTCATGTCAGGTGGCCATCCTATCTCTCTGCACTATTCCAGACCTTCACCCTCTCCCCTTCTTTACCTGAACTCTTGAGATCCACACTGGACCCCTTCTGGGCCATTCTCCCCTCTGTGCTCACTTCCATCTCTGAAAACCATGGATCTGATGGCCACCTGCCCCCTCCCCCACACAGCTTCTAATGCCTCCTCACTATCCCGAAGATGAGGCTCCATGCTCTTAAAACGACCAGCATTCTCCAGCTCCCGTGAGGTCCCCAGCCTCACCCCTTGCTCGCTGCCCTTCTCGAATGTTCTCTCTGCTTCCTCACTGGTGATGCTTGCTCTCTGTTCCTCAAAGAGACCATGCTCTTCCCTGCCAGTCCCCCTCCTGCCTGGAATGCTCTAACCCTCTCGCTTCACCCAGATACCTCCTTCCCATCCTTTAGGTCTGAGCTTAATGCCCCTTTCTCGGGGCTCTTCCTTGAATTCCCAGACCAGGCGAGGCCTCCCTGTGACGAATCACAGAGCAGCCATGATCCCTTCCCTGAGCTCCGTCACAGGGGTCTGTCTTCCCAAGCTGGCTGTGAGCTCCTGGAGGGCAAAGGCGCTGTGTTCCTAGTGTCCGAGCACATTGTCTGGTGCATAGTAGGTGTTCAATGAAGAGTTATTATCAGACAGGAATAAGAGTACTGACATCGCAGTGGGAGGTGATGGGGTGCACTTAGGGTAGGTACAGCAATGACCTTCACAGACGTTTCTGGAGCACACGCCCTGTGGCAGCCACCTGCTGGATCCTGGGGGAACGAGAGCTATGAGGACACAGCCTGCGCCTTCAGAGAGCTGCCTGTCTGATGCCACTGAAGAACCTTGTAAATGATTCCTCGTGGGGTAGTGATGACTTGGTCACAGGCTCTTCACCCCAACTGAAACCTGAAGGCCAAGGGCTCCTGGCTTTGGGCCCTCAGCACTCACACAGCACAGGTTTTGCTAAACCGGGCCTCTGTCTCGAGGCAGTGCACAGATTTCCCGCATCCTCGCCTTCTCCTTCAGGGGCCCCATCAAAGAAGCTTTGTCTAAATACCCACTTCCTTCCGAAGTCACTCTGCATACCTCTCTGAAGGCCCCCTCTAAGCCTCGGGGGCAGGCTTTGTTGGAGGTGGGGAGGGTTAAGGCTACCCTTCCCCTCTCTGGGCATCTATGAGATGGGCTTTGGCAGGAGGCTTCAGGGAAGGAATGGATGTGAAGTGCTCAGCGTGGAGTGTAACCCTCAACCCATAGTGTCCCGGCTCATCATGGTTAACCAACCTGAGCACAGCTCTGGGCGAGACCCTGAGCCGTGAGCACGGTGCTGTGCTCGGAGCATCCCCCTCAGTCCAGAGGACAGGGAATTACAGAGACCACGAATAAGAGGAAATCAGGCAGTTCCTTCTTCCAGCCTTATCCCCTTTCCTCAGGCTTCAGCTTCCTAGAGAGATGACACGCAGGAGGCGTGACCATAAAGGTGCCCTGACTTCTTTTCCTCCTGGTAGTTCCAGTGTCCCCAGTCCTGGGAGACAATGCCCGGGTCCTCTTCTCCCCTGATGTTAGCAGCTTAATTTATAGGGCTAGAGTTTTATATATATATATATGTATATATAATACATATATATATATATATACATATATATATATATACACACACACACATATATATATCAATCCCAGTCTCCTAATTCATCCCACCCCCTGATATCCTTTCAAGGTATCTCTCAACTCACCAATATGGACCCACCTAGAAAGATCCCTCCAGGCTGTTACGACTGCGGAGATGGCTTCTATAACCCGAACACAAGGATAGTCAAGGACTATAATTATCGCTTTCTGAGAAATGCAGGTATGTTTATTCCAAACCCTGTGGCATATGTTTTCTCCTCTCTCATCACACATAGCTTTGTGCACACGTGTGCACACACATACATGCATTTAGTGGGAAAGAAGCTTTTGCCGATGAAAGACAAAACCTGAGCATGTGAGTGTTTCACTCTTTGGAATTCTCCTGGCTGACAAGTCTATACCTAGTCATAGAGTGGGGCAGAGGATGTCAGAGGTCTCACTGTGACAGCACGTAAGTGTAGCACTGAAAGGATTCAAGTACCCATCTTTACATGTTTCCCTGCAGCTAATGAGTGCCTGCTGTATGCCAGACACTCTTAGTCTGGGCACCAAAGCAGGGCAAAACTAGTCACAAACCTCTTTCTCATGGAGCTTCTTACTGCTGTTCAGTTGCCCAGTTGTGTTCAACTCTTTATTTGGCAAAGAGCAGACAAGTACTATAAACAGTTAGTTGCATCATGGAATAAGCACAATGAATGAGGAAAAGTGGCCCTTGATGAAGGGTAAGGGTAGAAAAGAAGGGGGTGGGGTGCCAGAGATATGGAAGTGATGCTGTGGGAGCACAGATAAGTGGTACCTAATCCAGAACCAGACATCCTGAGAAGGATGCAAGAAGGAAACAGCCAACTTGAGATCCAAAAAATGTTGGGGCGTTGACCCCAAGGTGTGGGGAGAGGGTTTCCAGCCAGAGGAGCAGCACAGGTACAGGCCTGGAAAGTGAGTGATGCCATGTGGTCCAAGAAGCCTGCTCCTTAAGCAGGGGAGTACCTTGGAGGATCCAGAACCTCAGTTTGGTGAGTGAACACAAGCTGATCAGACTGAGGAGGATTGACTTACAGTGACCAAACTTGCAGGAGATCAGTGTACAAATAAGAATGAGAATATTTTCCTTTAACACCATGATTCCTAACCTTTCTCTTTTCTAGAGTCACAGTTCCACTAGGAATAACAAAATCTATGAACCCTCCCCCTAGAAAAGTGCCCACATATGCACACACACAAATATACATGTGTACAAACACACACACACACACCATTTTGCACATAGTTTAAGGGGTTGATGGTTCCTGTAAATACCCTGGTCAAGAAACCTACTGTGTAATGTGAAAGAAACTGCCAGGTAGACCAGAAGGCCTGGGTTGGCTGATGAGGGTCTCCACTTCCTGCAGGGAAGTTTATTCAGTAATTCAATGAAATGGTTGGATGGCATCACCAACTCAATGGAGATGGGTTTGAGGAAACTCTGGGAGATAGCGAATGACAGGTAAGCCTGGAGTGCTGCAGTCCATGGGGTCACAAAGAGTTGGACACAATTTAGCAGCTGAACAACAATTCAATGACAATAAGAAATTTACTTTGCAGTGCTGAAACAAGTACAGAGGGAATTGTTAGCTGATGTTGTGGCCGAATCCTGGAGCTGAGATACCCCTCACCCACTGGGTGCTCTTGGGGACCATGGCAAATGCTTGCACTCCAAGTCCCTGGCACTTTTCTCTAATGACTTCCATCTTCCATGAACAGAGTGTATTATGTGCATGCATGCATGTGTGCTCAGTCATGTCCGACTCTTTGTGACCCCATGGACTGTAGCCCACCAGTCTCCTCTGTTCATGGGATTTTCTAGCAAGAATACTGGAGTGGGTGGCCATTTCTTCCTCCAGGGGATGCATGTACTGTGTAGAACACTAATTCTGCTGGATGTTACTAGGCTCCCCTGAAGTTTCTTGATGAAATCAAGTAAGGAGATGCTGGGTTAAGTAGAACTCAACAGCTGTACTTACTGAGGGGTTTCTCGGGGCCTGTAAAATGCTGGTACACTCTGTAGTTGTCCTTCCAGCCCCTTGGGTTCCCTGGCGGCTCAGTCAGTAAAGAATCTGCCTGCAATGCAGGAGACCCGGATTCGATCCCCGGGTTGGAAAGATCCCCTGGAGAAGGAAATGGCAACCCACTCCAGTACTCCTGCCTGGAAAATTCCATGGATGGAGGAGCCTGGTAGGCTGCAGTCCATGGGGTTGCAAAGAGTCAGACACGACTGAGCAACTTTACTAGTTTCAGACCCTGACTTCAATTGTAATGAAATACTCTTATGTCATGAATTGCTTACCGTCTGTCTCTCCAGCTAGGGGCTAAGATCCCCGAGAGCAGGGACCCTGTCTTCTTGTCTCCACTTGTCCTAGTCAGAGTCCAGTCAGAAAACAAAGAATTTTACATAAAAAAAATTGATTAAGTAAGTATTAGAGAACTCAAAAAGCAAAAGAAAGACACTGGGGTATGAGAAAGTAGTTGCAAGAAGCAGCTACCACCTCAACACTGGGGGGCAGGGCAAGAGATTGGGTTGTTAGAATATAGGTTGCTGGAGGCACCCCCCACCAGGAGCTCTAATTCACACCTCTGAGGAGGGGGCACTGCCCAGTGGGGTCTCTGGAGAGAAAGTGATAATGCCGATTCTAGGTGTGTGGGGAGAGCTGGAAATTTGATGTGAAAGGCCATTGCTGAGACACTGACCAGAACAGCAAGCAAAACAGGAAAGAGCATGTTCCCTTCCCCTCCATCTGCCTCGCCGCACCTGACTGGGGACCAGCTGGCAAAGGAGAAATGACCTCCATGGGGTCCCAGTCCCAGCATCGCCAAGCAGGGTGTGGAGAGGTAGGTTTGGAGCTGAGAGTCAGTAGCTTCATAACTGGCACCATCCACTGCTTTTTGTTGCTCAGCATCCAGACACACTTTACTCTGCTGCAAAGATAACACATTTGTGCTTTTTGTGTGAGAAGTTCCAACCACTCTTCCTATTCATACAAAGAGACTCCCACCTTCTCCTCTAAAAGAGGAGACCTGAAACCCAGTAGACATTGTGTCTGTCTTTGGTTGATATTATCCTTTGACAGTCCTGCCTAATCTACAGCCTATGCATCACTGCCAAGAATCTTTCTATAAAATATTAAGGAAAAAAGAGGAAAGAAATAAATTAGTTAATAAAAGCAAATACATAGATGAATAAGTGATATAGATACACATAAACATACAAGCAAGGAAGAAAAGCTATACTGTTGATACAGTCCTCTTTCCATAACTGGTCATGCATACATACTAAGTCGATTCAGTCATGTATGATTCTTTGTTACCCTATGGACTGTAGCCTGCCAGGCTCCTCTGTCCATAAGATTCTCCAGGCAAGAATACTGGAGTGGGTTGCCATGCCTGCCTCCAGGGGATCTTCCCAACCCAGGGATCAAACCCACATCTCTTATGTCTCAGGCATTGACAAGCAGGTGGGTTCTTTACCACTAGTGTCACCTGGGAAGCTCAACTGGTCATGAGGCTGTAGTTTATATTTACAAATTCCTTCTTTCATTATAAATTCCACATTCCATTTGCTTTCCGCCCGCATTTCAGTCGATCTGTGTTCTAACTGGTAGGGCAACCCAAACCTTCATTCTTGAGGGTTCTGAATCCCTACTGGTCCTGCCTTTTTTGCTTGTTTAGTTGGTTGGTTTAGTTTTCACTCATTTTTACTATTGGCAGTGGAAGAACTAAGAATTGCCCTAGAGAACCCCCTTGGGTTCCATAGAGCATCCCCTTTCCCCAACTGTATAGCAGCAACCCAGTTCCCCCTGGCAATCGAGATCCATCACTCCAGCCAGAAATGTATTCCCCTTCTTTGCCTGTTGTTTCAGTGGCATTAGGAGCCAAGCAGCCAAGTGGCTGTTCCCACTTCCAATTCAGTTGAACCATTGTTGTATCACTTGGTGAGGCCATTTCTTCTTGAGAACAAAAACCTTTGGATCAATAAGATTCAAAGTTACAGGAAAAAGTAGGCAAAAAAATCTCCTTAAAATCTGGCATACTGATACAGCCCTGGCACCACACACAGACCCAGGCACGTAGTAGGTGCTCATTAACTGTGTACGAAACAGATAAATCAAGGAATGAATGTGTACTGTCAGCCTCTACCAGGGAGATATATGTATATCATTTCCCAAAATTGTTTAACTAATTGTAAAATTAGTTGGGAGATGGGGCAGTAGGGAGAAATTCTCTAGAATCAGCGTTCTGGGGAATTCTGTTAGCATAATCTTTCTTCAGTTGTGGTACAATACAACGGGTACACAGACTAGTGGAGGAGACAGACACAGAAACATCTAATCACAGTAGAATGTGATGTGTGCCCTGCTGGAGGGGATGGTGGCAGGGGATGGGAGGGAGGAATTGATCACCTGGCCCAGATGGGGGATGTCAATCAGGAAAAAGGTCCCAGAAGTGATGGGTCCTAAAGAAAGAGTAGGAGTGTCATAAATAGGACTGTTGGGGAAGGGCATTCCAGGCCGAGGGAACAGCATGGGCAAAGACACAGAGGCATAAAAATGTGTGATGTGACTGGGAAACAGAAATTGTGGTTCCCAGAGTCCTTTATCCTGGTGTAGAGTCTGCCTGCCAATGTAGGAGGCTCAGGTTCGATCCCTGGGTTGGGAAGATTCCCCTGCAGAAGGAAATGGCAACCCACTCTACTGTTCTTACCTGGAAAAGTCCCAGGGACAGAGGAGCCTGGCAGGCTACAGTCCGTGGGGTCACAAGAGTCAGGCATGACTTAGCGACTGAACCACCGCCACCCATGGGAAGCCTAAAGAAGAGCAGACAGGTGCAGCGGGGTTGGGAGGAGTGTTAAAGACAGAGCGAACAGCGTGTGCAAAGGGTTAGGGATGGGGAGACCGATGCACGTCGAAGAGGCTGCAGGTCCTTCAGGAGTGTGAGACACCAGTGCGTCAGGGGAAGACGAACAGGAGAGGAGGCCCAAGAGGCAGGAGGGAAGATCACAGGGGTCTTTTCCTCTGGGGGCTTTTGGGGTGCAGGGAAGTTTAGGGTCAAGCAAAACAGTCATTGATGTATCCATTAGAGTTTTCTGGTTACATACAGAAAAAGGGCCAAAGAAGAGGAGATAGTAGATCCTTCCAGCAAGATGGTGGAAGGGCATCTCCAAGAGGGGCATCTCCAGAGCCACGTCTCCAGGGTGGTGGGCTGGAGATTTGGCTTCTGAGTTCTGGCCCCAGCTCCCTGGGTCACCTGCTGGCTGACTCTGGGCCAGTACCTTCCCTCTCTGAGCCCCTTTCTCTTCATCTGTGAAATGAGATGGTTGGGCTGGATAATTTCTAGGGTCCTTCCAACCTTAATGGTCTATGATGGAGGAGAAAGGTAGCCAAGGGGTATTTTGGTCCTGATATTATAGGATGGATCAAGTTTGGAGTATCCTGGAAACCACTAAGAGGGAGTCTCTGTTGGTGGCGACCTGGTCATTACCCTTAACTCACCTCACCCTGCCAGGGACTGCGGTGACCTTCTGCCCATCTTCTGCTTCCCCCCGGGGCCCTTTCTCCTTTGAGTCCAATCTGCCCCTTAAACGGTGCTTCCTGTTGGCATTCTGAAGGCACAGGACTGCTGGCCACATGGGCCTGCAATGCATGACTGAGGCCATCCCAGAGTAAACACAGTGGCCTGAGCCACTGCTATTATGAGGCACATGCCACCTGGGTGGGTCAGACCTGAGGACACTGTTTCCTAGGCGGTCACAGGCTGGGGGACCAGCTCTCCTCCAGGCAGCTCTGAACTGCCTTGCTCCTCCCCCATCTTGGGCTGACTTCCCCACCACTACTACGCAGGCAGAGAGGAAACCCTGAGCTGCCGACTGCTAGGCTGTGAGCACATGTGACAGATCCAGGTTTGCTAGACTTGGGTTCCTCAGTGTGCACTTCTTTTTCTTTTAATTTTTGACCACACCCCATGGCATGCGGGACCCTAGTCCCCTGACCAGGGATCGAACCTACACCCCCCTACATTGGAAAGTGGAATCTTTAAGCACTGAATTGCCAGGGAAGTCCCATGAGTGTGTCTTTCTTAACTGGAAAGGACGGTCCCAACTGCTGAATTGAGGTTAGAATTTAAATCCCTCCTCCCATTCATCCAAAAATCTTTGAGCGCTTCAGTGCACCAGGCTTTGGGGAGCACGGCAGGCAAGAATTCTCTCCGACTGTGGCTCTCAAACCTTTGGACCCTGGCTCGCTCCAGGAGTGATTTGCATCATGATCCAGAACGCACACAAACTCACACTCACATATGTATTCTTTATACGTGAGATGCGCAGTGATATTTTCTGTTCAGTTTTTTTTTTTTAATGCTGGTTGCTATGCACTAAATTGATTTCACAACCTCCTTATGAGTCAGGACCATTGTTCCAGGCAGCCTTCCCTGACCAACCCCTCCCTGCACCCTGTCTGGGTACGATGTCCCTCCTCGGGCCCCCACAAGCCTTGCAGCACTCAGCGCACAACAGCAGAAGTATCTCTCTATGCCTGGCTCCCCCACTGGACTGGGAGCTTCTTGAGGGTGGGGACCATGTATCATGTCTGATTCAGCACCGTGTCCCCTGCACCTCATACAGGTCCCACTAGTTGGAGGTGATTCGATGTTTGTAAAAGAAAACCAGACAGGTGGGCAGAGGACCTGCCTACAAGTCGCTCAGATTCTTCAAAAGATTATATGCAATTCAATCACCTGGCACATATAGACAAATTATTATTTTGAATAATAAAAATAAGTCATTACGGGGATTTCCCTGGTGGTCCAGTGGCTAAGGCTCCTCACTCCCAATGCAGGGGGCCCAGGTTCGATCCCTGGTCAGGGAACTAGATCCCACATGCCCCAACTAAGATCTGGAGCAGCCAAATACATAAACAAATATTTTAAAAAGCAGGCCATTATATTTTTCTGCACTGCCAAGTTTTAAAAGCTTAAGTGTTCAAGATCTCAAATCAGTGACTTTCAGGCCTCAGTTTTTGTTTGGCTGGCCCCATGCTTGAAATTCCATGGGTTTGAGCACAACTGCAGGAATTTTAGTTCCCTCACCAGGGATTGAACCTAAGCTTACAGTAGTGAAAGCTCCAAGTCCTAACTGCTGGACTGCCAGAGAATTCCTAGCATCTGGCATTAATGGCAACCCACTCCAGTACTCTTGCCTGGAAACTCCCATGGACAGAGGAGCGTGGTAGGCTGCAGTCCATGGGGTCGCTAAGACTCTGACATGACTGAGTGACTTCACTTTCACATTTCACTTTCTTGCACTGGAGAAGGAAATGGCAACCCACTCCAGTGTTCTTGCCTGGAGAATCCCAGGGGCAGAGGAGCCTAGTGGGCTGCCGGCTATGGGGTCGCACAGAGTTGGACACAAGTTAGCAGTAGCAGCAGCAGCCATAAAACCCATAAGCTTTTGAGCCCTGCATCTCCTGGGAACTTCCCATGCATCCAATGAGCCGGGAATGGGTGTGTCCTGAGATTAGGAATCTAGGTCAGGGAATGATGAATGATAGACCAGTGATGGTGAAGCTGAAACTCTAACCCACTCCTCTCTTCCTACAAATCCTGTGGTCTTTTCACTCCATCCTGATGCTGCTTCTGTTGGGACCATAAAAGCATAAAAGACAGCAACTCAGTGCAGGCAATATTCCAATCAACACAGCAGACATAAAGCAGAGACCGAGATAGGAGCTCCCTACTGCAGGAGGCTTGAGAGCAGGAAGAGGTCAGAGAGATGGTGGAGAAATGCCCAGGGTCTGGATCCACGTCTCTGGTTTTCCTCTGGTCCTGGACCTACCACTGGCCAGCTGGGTGACCATGGGTAGCTTACTTCTTGTCTCCTCTTGGAGCTTCAGTTTCCTCATCTGTAAAATGGGCATTATAGTAGTACTTAATCTGGAATTTGGGTTAGAAAAGATGGGGTTAAGTATGAAAGGTACTTAGCACCCAATTCAAGAAACATGTCCAGCGTGATTGGTTGTTGTGACTGACATTATTCTACTGATTACTGGCCCAGGCTGTGGAAGAGAGAAGAGAGTGTGCCCAGGGGTTTGCTAAGATTCCTCTAGGTGTTTAAGAGTAAAGAAAGCACTGGGGAGACATGTGATTGGATACTCTAGGTCTTTCTGCCTCCTTGGGGGGTTTTGCTTGGGAAATTAAATCCAAGCTGAAACTCTGGGGTCTGCAGACTCTTGGTTATGTTGTTCAATGCCCCAGTCTACCTTCTGCCCTCCTGTCTCTCCCCTCCCTTTGTTCCAGCCAGGCAGACTAGCTGCCCTCCACTGATCAACACGGCTCTGTTCTCACCTCGTCTGTTCCCCCAGCCGAAAATGCCCTTCCCCCTCTCCTCCCGCATCACAGTCCTCATCTCTGCATACTCAGCACACAAAAGAAGGCCGTGAAGTCTTTGCCTGTGGCCCTGGAAGAATGGCACGCAGCTTCAGCTGCTCACCCACAGCTCAGGGCCACGACACCGAGCAGGAACGCGGGACATGGAGACGCCTCGCCAGGCCCTCGCTTTGCACCTTTCCTGTTTATCTCCTCTGCTTTTCACGCCATCCCAAGGGAGAAGTTTTTCCGGAGCCACAGGTTGCAATGAGATGATCAGGTCTCAAATAGGTTAATAACTTGCTCCCGGTTACATAGCTGGTGACAGAGTCAAGAGTCTAACCCGACTCTACCCAAACCCTATCCTTTTCCTCTGCTTGCCAGCTTTGTGTCCTAGCTCATTCTTTTCTTTAATATTAGTTTATTTGGCTGCGGAACTCGGGATCTTCGATCCTCGTTGTGGCATGCGGGATCTCTAGCTGTGGCATGTGGTACCTACTTTCCTGACCAGGGAATCTAACCCGGGCCCCTTGCAATGGGAGCATGAAGTCTTAACCACTGGACGACCAGGGAAGTCCCCATCCTAGCTTATTCTTTACTCAACACCTCTGCTCCCAGATAGGACCGCATCTCATTCACAGGTGCTCCTGCTTCAAGCACAGTTCCTGGCACCAGTGGGAGCTTGGCGATGCTCTAAATGAATGAAAAGGTCCATGTGATAGTCTGGAGAAAAAAACCACCACAGTCACCAAAGGAGATGCTATCTTTTTTTATAAAGGGTCCTTTGCAGGCTGTGGGCAGACCCCCCACTGCCCCCCGCCCCCTGGCATTCCTCTCTGGAAGGATGCGTCCCAGTCGTGCTGGCGCTGTGTACATGTGTCTCTTCATGGAGCCGTTGCCTGCCTCGACGTTACTAGCAGGAATCATTTGCAAAATAACTGCACCAGTAAGCCTCCCTCCCTCCCTGCAATTAATGACACCCCATGCGCGTGTCTCAGATGAAAGGCACATTATTAATATTCAAAGGAAAAAAACCCTCGTAACCATTTTAACATATACAACTAACAATGAACTAAATTTGCTTTGTGGAAGACAGAGAGTGAGCATCCCAAATTAGTTTATGTGAAAGCTGAAATTCTTCCCCCGAAAGGTCTCAGTACCATCTTCAGAGAATATCCTGATCATCAGAAATGCCGTCAAGATTCCCGCCAACATTATCCCCTTTGTTGTCTGAAATGTCGAATCAAGCACATCTGGCAAATGTCCTAGAGCTCACAAATCTTTCAAACAGCGTATAATTCCCAACAGTTAAAGAGAGAACGCCACTGCTTAATCGTGCTGCTCTTCAAAATAGCACCAACTTTCCTTCAATCAGAAACAATGGCTTGGGCTTCTTAAAAATATCGCATACCAGCGATTATTTGCGGATAGAGCCCCTTTGCATTTGAACCTGTGGGTTCCAGACAGAATTTAAAATCAAGATCACAAGCCTCGTTGGAATGTATGCTGCGTGAAACGGACAATGGGAAGAAGTGGTGTGAGTGGTGGTACAGAGAGTGACCTCACATGGGTGATTCAGAGACTTTGGGAGGTGATGGCTGGCTCTACCAGAATGAGGATGGAGAGGATAAAGATCGGAGAGGGGTGACTCAGCTGGCCTTGACTGAGCGTTGACCCTGCACCAGACACTCAACTCCAGGAGAGGGGCGTATTCGCATGAACCCTCTTTGACAAATGAGGAAAGTGAGGCTCCATGTGGCTAAAGAATTTCCCCAGGGAATTTGGCAGAAATTGGGATTCACACTTGGGCTCATCTGTCTTCAGAGCTTTGCCTCTTTCCACTTTGCCTGACCGACTCCAAAACTCTCTGTCCTGAGCATGGAGCTCCCAAAGACTGGTGTTTATCTGCTCCTAACCTAACTTTTGGACTTCCCTGATAGCTCAGTTGGTAAAGAATTCGCTGGCAATGCAGGAGACCCCAGTTTGATTCCTGGGTCTGGACAATCCGCTGGAGAAGGGATAGGTTACCCACTCCAGTATTCTTGGGCTTCCCTTGTGGCTCAGCTGGTAAAGAATCTGCCTGCAATCCGGGAGACCTGAGTTTAATCCCTGGGTTGGGAAGATCCCCTGGAGAAGGGAAAAGCTACCCACTCCAGTATTCTGGCCTGGAGAATTCCATGGACTGTATAGTCCATGGGGTTGCAAAGAGTCAGACACAACTGAGTGACTTTCACTTTCACTTTCACCCTAACTTTTAAAAAAGCTGTGTAGTGAGCACCTGGAAGTGAAAGACCACTTGGTCTTCTAAAGTTTCTCCAGTTATTATTAACAGTTGAAAACCAGAAACATCCCAGATGTCCAACAGGAGGGAATTCATTAAGTAAAAAACAATATATCCTTACAATAAAATAGAATGCAGCCATCAAAATGGCAGTGAAGGAATGGATGTATTGATATAAAAAGGTATCCATAGTCCAGTTGAAAAACAAAGTGATAATAATAACCATCAATGACTAAGTGCTTATGATGTTCCAAGCACTGGTTTGAGCACTTTCAATATTTGATTTTCTTTTACTTAACTCTCACAGTTGTGGAAAATTTTAAAAGAGATGGGAATACCAGACCACCTGACCTGCCTCTTGAGAAACCTATATGCAGGTCAGCAAGCAACAGTTAGAACTGGACATGGAACAGCAGACTGGTTCCAAATAGGAAAAGGAGTACAAAGGAGATCAGTCCTGGGTGTTCGTTCATTGGAAGGATTGATGCTGAAGCTGAAGCTCCAATACTTTGGCCACGTCATGCGAAGAGTTGACTCATTGGAAAAAACCCTGATGCTGGGAGGGATTGGGGGCAGGAGGAGAAGGGGATGACAGAAGATGAGATGGCTGGATGGCATCACCGACTCGATGGACGTGAGTTTGAGTAAACTCCAGGAGTTTGTGATGGACAGGGAGGCCTGGAGTGCTGCGATTCATGGGGTCGCAGAGTCAGACACGACTGAGCGACTGAACTGCACTGAACCCTCACAGTAACCCTATAAAATAGTTTTCTTTATTATTTCCATTTTACAGATGATGAAACTGAAATGAGGTGAAATGCTTTGTTACTCAGGTAGCAGCTGGCAGGACTGGAATTTGAACCCAGGGCTAGCTGACTCAGAGCTAAGGATGACCTTTGAGCTGGTTCTGAATGAGGAGCTGGAGTTTACTAGTGAAAGAAAGAACCGAGGGCCTTCCTGGTGGCCCAGAGATTTTAAAATATCCAAGGAGTGTAAGATGGTAGTAGTGGCTCTTTTCCCCTCGATAGTTCTCTGTCCATTTTATTGCTCAAAACCTGGCCAAAGAACAAGAGTCTCTCAATGCCACCAATAAACCAAGACTCTTCTCATCTTAAAGCCTCTGCCTTCACCAGACAGGTGAGAAAGCTG